CAATTGAAAGCGATTGACCAATCAGAAGAAAGTTATCCTATATGCGCTAGGGTGGTTTATAATGAGAATATAATATTGCAAACACAATCTTATTGGTCAAATTACATGCATAAAGCCTATTTTTATTGGCCAGATCACATGAACTCTTAAAAATTGGGATGTTTAATCGGATAATCATAATCATGAAAAGCTTGTTCTGTGAAAGCTTTTTATACCGTATAAAACTAAAAAACGTCGTCTGTATGTTAAATTTAAAACCAGGTCATTCGAATTCTCAACATCGAAGTATAGACAAGTATTGTTATCCAGAATGCTGGTGTCAGTCTATTTACGTATCAACGTATGCATATAATGATGATCATTAAAGCTCAAGCTGCAATAATTCTTGAACCCAAACAAATACAGAAATAGCATTCTTTTTTTTATTGCCTGGAGCGTAGCAGGCAGTGTCTAAAATTCAGCATCAAAGCTGTGGGCGGGCCGAACATTAAATAGACCTTTGGTGCCCAACAAATAGTTCTACTATATATGATGTTGCCAAAGAAAACATACATTATTAAAATAAATTATTATAAATTTAATAATAATCTGTTTTTTAGGCGACACTCATATATAAACTCTGTCTTTTTGCATTTTAATTTCGTTGTAACAACAGTAATATACCGATATATTGCTAATTATGCAAAATATCTACCGGTAATTTATTAATTTTTAACTACGTAGCAAGTTAACTAAGGCCGTTTGAAGTTATAATTTTGTTTAACGTCCCTTATGACACTTAAGCGCAGTGAGATTTAAACAAACATAATGTTATATTACAAAGATAATCACATTATTATAAGCACGTGACTTAGTGAGCGTAATGAACGCTCTAATTGGCCTAATTTCAGGGAGAGCTCTTTGAGGTGAACGTTAAACAAAATTGTAATTTCAAGCAGCCTAATCTTTATCATGTCCACTTGGCCAGTCCAATTAAACACATCTACTATGCACCACTAATCCATTCCTTATATGGTGCTAGAAGCCTATACTAGACAATAAAAATTAGTACATACGGAAAACGCATCAACTTTTTATAGAAACAATATTTTTAAAAGATATTTGATAATTTTGTAAAAGCTTATTACGAAGAACAAAGCTACCGTTCAGATTTTTAAAATTTTACTTTTATCAAAAGTTATCACACTTTAAAGTTCGTTTAAAATTAAATAAAACATATACGTACGTAGTAATTATAGTAATCTTTAAAATGCATCAGCTTTTTATACAGGTTTTTAAAAAAATATATTTGGTGAATTGTAGAACTAATATCGGTCAGTTTTTGAAAACCTCTTGTATAAAAGGTTATAGTGATTTAAAAAAATCGCAACACGTCTAGTATAGCGATAGGCTTTACGTAGCACATTTATTTATGTATGGCTACGATCATTACTGTGATTATCGAAATTTTGGTGATTTGTCAAGAAAGTGTATTATATAAAATCTGCTGGAGTTAAGATTAAAAATTGGTCAGGATTAGAGTTAAGTAAAAGTTCTAAATATTTTACTTGGAGGATATCAAAAACTAAAAGTAGTAAACTTATACAGTTATATATAGTAGACTATCGGAATTTTAGATCCCGAACCTTATTATTGAATTCTATACTGCCTTAGCGCAAAAAAATATTGAATAGAAATGTCGGCATATACGGAGGAAGTTTTAATTTCAAAACTTAACAAACTTGTTGACACGCAAGAATCTATTTCTTTGCTCTCACAGTGTTAGTCTTCAACAGCCAAATAACGAATGTTTGACGACGGCTATTTTGTAACATTTACATTCAACCCTTGTCAAGACTGATAAGCTCTTATGTAGTTAGTTTCCTTTAAGAAGTGACTCATCTGGATTTCATTTGTTTCTATTAGGGTTTATGTATCATCGGCGGCATGTTGCGACTAGTGTGGATATATGGAATCGTGAACTTCGAAAGGGTAGGCTTGTTTACTTAATAATTTTTAAACTTACTTTCTTGACACCTGTCATGCCATTTTTTTTCTATTTTTATTTTTAATAGCATCTTCTGCACGGAAACTTTCATTTATATACCTTTGTAATGACGTTTGTCAAAATAGCCGACGAAAAGGTTTAGAATTTACCCAAGAATTCAAAAAAGTTCTTCCAGATGCCATGGAACACACCTATCGCCATGCTACTGCTGATGTTCAAGGTATTATAAGGCGTGTTGTCAACATATGGGATGAAAGAGAAGTATTTGACAAAGATTTCCTAGACGAGTTGCGAAGGCGTTTCACAGGTATAATAAACGTACGGATCGCTGTTTTTAACACTTATTATCTTAAGTGTTGTTTTTTTTCTGGTCTAGGTCAAAAAACTCTTAAATCAGAACAACGACTGATACAATCAGGTCATACCGCGCCATCACAGCCATGCCGCCCGGACATTGTAATTGTTATTTAATATCATAGATAATATCATAGATAATTAATTAGTCTATAAAACTTCTTACTAGAAATCCTTTATATGTTCTTATAGGCAAAGTTAATGACTGCAACACAATCTATTTCAGAATCAGAATCAATCGTGCATGAATATGGAAATAAAGTTGCGAAAATTTGGTCTGAAGTAATGGAAGCGGAAGGTATAGATCCTGGAATTTATTAATAAAACATTGTACTTGAAAATTTCTTAAAATCATTTAAATATTTAAATATTTAAATATTTAAATATTTAAATCACAGAAAAACCGAGTCCATCCATACTTTCACAACAACTTGATCATCTTCTTCGCGTGCTTACTGAACATCAAAATCTTGTCTCGAAAAGTATTACAAATCGAACTCAACTAATCAATCAAATGAAAGAGATAATAGCACAAGAAGAAATGAGATTAAGGCTAGATAACAAAAGCCTACTGGATACTCAATCTAAAATCAATGAAACTAAGGAATGCATAGAACAGTTAAAATCAATAAGTATTTTTCGGTATGATGCAAATAAAAATATTCATAATGGTGAGTCTCGATTTGATCAAAACGGTGAAATTCGACAAAAGGATCATCAACAACAACACGCAATGAAAGAGAATGATTCTAAATCAAGATCAATAAAACAAAATGAAACTTCGCAACAATTAACGAAGGTAGAAGTGGATTCTCAAGGAAGTACTTCGTCTACCTACGATCCTTCGATTCATTTGACTTTGCCGCCATCATCTTTTACCTCAGGATCAATGTTACCCTCAGAAACTCAATTATTTGGAGATTCGTTTTCTCTTATGAACGACCAACTGCAGGTTCCTTATCAAAGTACGTCCATTTCTTCTTCTATATCGAATTCACCGGCTCCTTCCAGCAATAGTGATGAGTACAGTGATCCTTTAGTATCTACGGACCATAGAGGATGATCTTGATCAATGGTTAAGTTGCATTAAGCTTATTATAATACGTTGATTTAGGCGTCTTTGAATAGATTATTTATGCAAGTATAGCATTTTCGGAATTGCTATATTTATTAGTGTATTCAATGATAGTGACCACGACAAACTTCATTTTTTGAACTTTAAAGCATCCAAAACCATTTCAGGTGTTTTAATTTCGACCAAAGGCGCAGGAGTCATATTTGCGTAAGAACTCTTATTCAATTTTCTAATTTTTACCTTGCTTTCATCTTTCCTTAATTTTTGTAATTGCATATGATAAAATAGATTAAAAAAAAAAAGTTACTTTCTTTTAGTACGCAAGTTGTGCTTATCGTAAAAACAATGCTAATATGTCATTATCCGCATTTTTTGAAATAACTTTGTCTATTTATATGGTTAGCATAGTCGGATTATATATATATAACGAAGCATTATTCTATATTTGAAATTACTGTAGGGTTTAAACTTTTTTTTTGCACCTGCACGATAATGCGCCACAAAATTAACCGACTATGTAAAAGATTTGAATTAAAAATTTGACAATTGCTATTGCTTAAGCGAAATTTAATAAAAAAAGAGTAAATCTATAGTCATACTTTACAACCACCCTCTATAATTACAATCTCTATAAAATTATGCTAATTTATGTTTTCAACCTTTTAAATAATAAATTTTCTCTTTCCATTTTGTGGTACATGACACGAACTATATAATCTGAATGTGATTCGCGGAGATATGTAAGTTACATGGCTTACAATTCGATCTTTGCAAATAAAATTATAAAAATTAATAAATTTGATTTTTGCAATCAATAGTTAATTTTTTATTAATCTGAGTTCTTAATGAAAGTTATAGTAAAAATAAATTAAATATTAATTTAAGCTTATAAATACGTAGAATAGACCAAATTTTTGTAATGTAAGCTGTAGCATTCTGAAAGTATTCTTAAATATTTCGAAATATTAGGATAATGTAATTAACATGTAACGTAAATTGTAATACATGTAATGCCTACCCTGTAAAATTAAATTGAATTTATTAGTCATAGAATCATGATCGGCAGGGCCGGAATTAACAACATACCAATCTAAAAATCTCACTGGCCAATCAAATTTAGAAACTAAAAATCGTCTTTAGTGCTAAATTTTGTCTATTAGCTGCCTTCTGCGTATTAACAAAAAGTTTTCCTTGCAAAATTTTGGTATAACTGTAATTTTCTAAACCTAACCTATTTGCAATACCCTAACCCTAACCTAATAGCGAAATGTTTTTTCTTAGCGAAAATTTTTTAGTCCCATAGGAATTAACTAATTTTGCCCAAGATCACTAAAAGTTTTACTAATGAAGTCATGGACCACTCATTAAATAAGCTGCCCAGCTGATAATTTTGGCCCCTAAGTCTGATGGATCCGACCCGGAAGTTTGGTTAAAAAATACAGAAATCACCGGAATTCTAAAAAAAATTCAAGAATTTTAGCACTGGTTCCAGGGCATTATTTTGGGTAATACAACATATAATTTAAAAAAACAGATAATCGATATTTGATTGGTCTAAATTAGAGCTAACTTGATGAATTGGCAGCATTAGTATGTTTTATTGATCAATAGAACAATAGAATAGAATATAGATCTATTGAAATATGTACAGCTATACAATGCAGTATTCTAATCTAACGTGAACTTTATTTTAATCTTTGTACCGCGTTCTCGTAATAAAGACTTTGGATGTTTCCACCAGATTACTATGCCTTATTCGTTTTGTTTGGGGAGTGAAATTTGTAACATGTGTTCTGGATTCTTCTGCTTTTAGTGGAAGAACCGGTAAACTAGGATGAAGCTTTCGCTTGTTTTCAAAATTAACCCTCCTATTAATTAATTTTTTCAGTTGAAAACCATCACGACAAACCACCTGTCTTAGATAAACTATTAGATTAAATGCGTTTTCTATATCTATTCCTGAACTTCCTGATTGTAGATCAAAGCTTTTAACATTTTGATCATAAGTATACATAATTGAGTTTTCCAGATCATTATAAAAAGGTTTTAGTACTCCAAGTCGTATATGACCATTATTAACCAATGCAACGTGGACTCGAATCGAGAACATTTCGGATTCTGAGAATGTGTGCATCGCAAGTATCCGATTTAGAGTAAAAGCTGCTTCTGCAACGATTACGGCGAAATCCTTATGTACATGACAACCATCTACTTCAAATTCTAAAATGAAGAAGGGGTATTGTTCCTTTGTGAAAGTGGAAGTTGCAACACAACTAAAGTCAGAACGGGCGGAGCCTCTTCCACTATTTCCCGGCATTTGAAAATGTAATTCCCAAATAGGCTCAAAGGGAACTTCATTTAATATAAACGTATCAGACAGGATCTTTGCCCATAATTGGGATTTGTAGTGATTTTCTGACGAAACTGCACCCGGTCGAACCGGCGAAGGAATAAAAAGAAGCACGGAAGTCAAGACCGACAACGCAGTTGGCACATCAATAATATAGTAGTCATCAGACTCTAGGCCCAACCATCGTTTTATCATAAATATAAAACTTGATTGGACTTTTTTCAATATACCTTCACTTATAATTCTACGTAAGACCGGGATTATATCTTTTAATTGGTTATTATTAGAAATTTTAAGCACTGTAGATATTATGTCAAAGTCGATTGCAGGTTTCAATAGATTTGTATGACATATGTGTATTTCTGCCGGAAATAGTTCGGTATCAACAACGGACCAAGTAAACAACTTAAACAGATGTCTTCCTTTCTGTGCTTCTTCTTCGATATTAGAACCTTCTAATTGCATTATGGTTTCATAATATTCTCCTAAGGACCTAAAGTTTTCCGTATGATCAAGAATACGTTGGACATTACTCGCGCTTGACGTTTGGACAATACTCGTGGTTCGTGACGGACTACTGGTTTGTGATAGTTCTTTATTCTCTTCATCCGATCTTTCTTCTTCGCCTTTATCATTAGATAACTAAAAAATACCGGTATTGTAGAAATTAATAAGTGTTTATTAAGTAATATTTGTCTAATAACGTAGCAAACGCAAGTTCTTAAGAATAAAGTGAGTAACTATTTCCTTCTCCAGAATTAGTGCACTTTATCTAAAGAACTTCATTAGATTGTTACTCCCTTGTGGCAAGCACTAGTTAACCATCCTTGCCAAATAGCCTATAAAGCAACGATGCCGCCCAAAGAAGGACGTTCACAGGTAAACCTGTGGCCACGATGCGCTTCCAGTTCTTTTGAACGTATCCTTGTTAAATAGTCTATAAAGCAATACTATGGTTCTAGTGAAGCTCCCAAAGCATTATCCCTCACAAATACACTCTTTCACTGCATCGAAATCGGAAACAATGATTCGGAGAGCCTCACAAGGCCAATCTAAGGAAAGAGGTTTCACCGTTATTTAAAAATATAACTCACCTTAGAGGTACTAGAATCTTTGTTTTTCCCCAAACGAGCAACACGATTCATTTTTATGGTGTAAACAAAATTTCGCGGTCAATTTAAGCAGGGGGGTCGAGGTAGGACCGTCCCAAATAAGGGGGACGTCTAAAGCCGTGTCCAGTCACGTGTTTTTTGTTTTTAATTAAAGTTAGGGTAAGGGT